TGACGTGTGAGGAGGGGAGACTGAGGGAATAAGGTCAGTCGTGAGTGTCAGACATTTGTTCATTCATTACAGCGTGCTGCAAAAGCCTAAAATCTTTCCCTTCAAATGAATACCTTCTTTAAGTTATCTTAAAATTCAACTTGGGATTAATTCAGCTCAGAATATATCTCAACGTTTCATCAGTACACAATTATATAAAGCTATGATTAATGCTTATACAGACTGACGTTCTGCAGACTGACAAACTTTAGTGTTTGTCTTTCAACACAATCAAAAGATTAAACTGAGTTATAAGATACAATTATTATTACACCTACACATGTTGATGTTCAACAAGGTACCAAGTCTGATTTAGTACTACACAATTGATGTTCGTTCAATGTACTGTACACGGATAATTAAAAAAGAAAAAAAAGAAAACTGAATACAATCCACAAGCACTTTATGAATGAGTCACCCTGCTTGTGATGCGTTTCTGATTTATTCTCAACTGTGAAGACACATTATAGTATTTAAGATTGGAGGTATTATGTATGTGTGTGTGTGTGTGTGTGTGCTTGTGTAACTGTGTGTGGGGTTGTGTGTGGGGGCGGGGCTGGAGGTAATTGACTCCTACAGTCGTTCTGATCAGATGTGAATCATCTGCAGGCATTAAGACTTCCTGGAAGGCTAATTCGGGAGTTATAAACTTTTCCACATTGGGACTCATAAGGAGCCAATTGAGTTTCAGTGCACTTTCTGATTCAGTAACATCATCCAAGAATCCGGTTTGTGGATTTTTTTTCTGCACTGATACCAAACTCTGTGCTTATGCTGGGAATAAACGTACGTGACAAGATGCAAATTGCGTATCGTGCGTGAGAATGGGTTCTGCTTTCACTTCAGCTCGGATGACTCCCATTTCTGCTAAACCCCACACACACACACAACAAGCTATTTCATATGTATATGAATGTCAGGCTCAATGAACTGATTGTTTGGTGTATGGTATACTGTGAAATCATAGCATTCGCAGTTTGTGCGCTCTTAAGTTTACGATTGTCTGGCCAACAGTCCAAACGATAAAGATTTTTAATTTACTGTCACATTAAACAAAGAAAAGCAACAAATCCTCACATTTGAGAAGCTGAAAGGAGAGAATATTTGGCATTTTTCTTTGGAAACTGACTGAAGTTATGGATCTGTCATTAAAATAGTTGCCAATGTAATTTCATCAAGTAATGCATTAGTGCACTACTCGTTGCAGCTCTATATGTATGCACTCATGAAACCTGGATAAACCTCTCGCCGCTAAAAAGCAACTATTCAGGGCGTGTTTCTTTTGGAAAGTTTGACTGGGCAGCTACTAGTAAAAAAACAAAACTCGTGACCCCATCCTACATCGCTCACTGTGTACACACACACACACAAAAATCCATTAATGTATTGCAACTGCAGAGCCTACAAGCACGCAGGTTTTCAGCGACATCCTCATACTGCTGCAGCTAAATCGGGCCTATAATCAACATTCTTCCAACAACAAGAACAGGGGCACGTCGGGGTAAACACACACACAAATACACACACTCTCTAATTATTGCTGCTTTGGAAAAAAAACAGGCACGCATGTCTGTCCCCCCAAAACGCCTGCACACACACGCAAGAACTTAACCCTACTGTATGCCTTGTGTGTGTGTGTGTGTG